ATGAGTAAAGCCACTCTGTGCATGTCATGCACTGTACTTTACTGTACTGACCAGCTGTAATGACAGTTACAATGAGGGAAAAAAGTATTTGATCCCCTGCTGATTTTGTAAATTTGCCCACTGACAAAGAAATGATCAGTCTATAATTTTAATGGTAGGTTTATTTGAACAGTGAGAGACAGAATAACAACAAAAAAATCCAGAAAAACGAATGTAAACATTTTTATAAATTCATTTACATTTTAATGAGGGAAATAAGTATTTGACCCCCTCTCAGTCAGAAAGATTTCTGGCTTCCAGGTGTCTTTTATACAGGTAACGAGCTGAGATTAGGAGATCACTCTTAAAGAGAGTGCTCCTAATCTCAGTTTGTTACCTGTATAAAAGACACCTGTCCACAGAAGCAATCAATCAGATTCCAAACTCTCCACCATGGCCAAGACCAAAGAGCTCTCCAAGGATGTCAGGGACAAGATTATTGGCAAATGGAAGAAACACAAAATAACTGTCAATCTCCCTCGGCCTGGGGCTCCATGCAAGATCTCACCTCATGGAGTTGCAATGATCATGAGAACGGTGAGGAATCAGCCCAGAACTACACGGGAGGATCTTGTCAATGATCTCAAGGCAGCTGGGACCATAGTCACCAAGAAAACAATTGGTAACACACTACGCCGTGAAGGACTGAAATCCTGCAGCGCCCGCAAGGTCCCCCTGCTCAAGAAAGCACATATACAGGGCCGTCTGAAGTTTTCCAATGAACATCTGAATGATTCAGAGGAGAACTGGGTGAAAGTGTTGTGGTCAAATGAGACCAAAATGGAGCTCTTTGGCATCAACTCAACTCGCCGTGTTTGGAGGAGGAGGAATAATGCCTATGACCCCAAGAACACCATCCCCACCGTCAAACATGGAGGTGGAAACATTATGCTTTGGGGGTGTTTTTCTGCTAAGGGGACAGGACAACCTCACCGCATCAAAGGGACGATGGACGGAGCCATGTACCGTCAAATCTTGGGTGAGAACCTTCCCTCAGCCAGGGCATTGAAAATGGGTCGTGGATGGGTATTCCAGTATGACAATGACCCAAAACACACTGCCAAGGCAACAAAGGAGTGGCTCAAGAAGAAGCACATTAAGGTCCTGGAGTGGCCTAGCCAGTCTCCAGACCTTAATCCCATAGAAAATCTGTGGAGGGAGCTGAAGGTTCGAGTTGCCAAACGTCAGCCTCGAAACCTTAATGACTTGGAGAAGATCTGCAAAGAGGAGTGGAACAAAATCCCTCCTGAGATGTGTGCAAACCGGGTGGCCAACTACAAGAAGCGTCTGACCTCTGTGATTGCCAAAAAGGGTTTTGCCACCAAGTACAAAGTCATGTTTTGCAGAGGGGTCAAATACTTATTTCCCTCATTAAAATGCAAATCATTTTATAACATTTTTGAAAATGCGTTTTTCTGGATTGTTTTGTTGTTATTCTGTCTCTCACTGTTCATATGAACCTACCATTAAAATTATAGACTGATCATTTCTTTGTCAGTGGGCAAACGTACAAAATCAGCAGGGGATCAAATACTTTTTTCCCTCACTGTATACATAGTCCAGGGCCCGTATCCACAAAGCATCTTAGAGTAGGAGTGCTGATCTAGTATCCGTTTAGCCTTTTAGATCATTTTATTATTTATATTTTACCCCCTTTTTTCTCCCCAATTTCGATCTTGTCTCATTGCTGCAACTCCCCAACGGGCTCGGGAGGCGAAGGTCAAGTCATGCATCCTCCAAAACATGACCCGCCAAAAACTTGCGCTTCTTAACACCCGCCCGCTTAACCCGGAAGACAGCCGCACCACGAATGTGTCGGAGGAAACACTCCGGAGCCCAGCCTTTTAGATCTTAATGAATAAGATTATATGGACAGATCCTAGATCAGTGTTCCTACTCTGAGATGCTCTGTGGAAACAGGCCTTGGAAAAGAGGTCTTCTGACCTCTATGGGACGTCATGGCTAAATAAATAGTACCTTCACCAACAATAAGAGCTTAAACATGACTTGAAAGAGCTACAAACGAAGAACCAGTTTTGTTGCTATTCATTAGCTAGATTGTCATGCGAATATTCTAAAATCTGCATAAAAACAATATGCACATTTTCCCACCATTGGTGTTTCCATCAAACTGACTTTTTGAGGATAAAAGTCTGTGCGTGATAACGTAGTGCACATAAAAATGACTTTTGTTGTTAAGTTCCCATGTACCGAATAAAAAAAACATACCGTCGCTGATGAAAACCGCATAACTCAATGTTTACCAATTTTCATATTTCTACATGTTTTGAAAGCAGTAACCCCCTCAATGTACTCTGAACATTTCATGACTCTAGGACCAAGAAAATGTATTCGAAAATAGCTTCTTAAATTTCGAAATTGTTTGATCGTTAATGGTAGATTATGGCAGTTTTTTTTTCCATTTCCTGAAAAGTTTCTGTTTTGGAGAAGAGGTTTTCATCCGACAGTGACGATAAGTTAAATAGGCTTCCATCGCAATTTCAACTCCACCAATGGTTTTGTCACAAAAACTGTTGCAATAAATAGCAAACTTGCCCAGTCTGGTTTTGGTGCATGCTCTCTAGACAAGACTTCACTGATAATAATATGCCATTTAATAATAATAATAATAATAATAATAATAATAATAATAATAATAATAATATGCCATTTAGTAGACGCTTTTATCCAAAGCGACTTACAGTCATGTGCGCATTTTTACGTATGGGTGGTCCCGGGGATCGAACCCAATACCCTGGCGTTACAAGTGCCATGCTCCACCAATTGAGCTACAGAGGACCACTGATAGTGGACAGCGGGTTATATGAGATATGGATAAGAGCAAGATCATTTTATTTGATAATTGGCAGCCAAGCACCGATCATAATGTCACCAGCATTCAAATAATAGCCTACCCTCGATATTTAGCCTATTGGAAACTTGAATGATCATAGTGCACTTAACCACCATGTGAAGTTCATCATAACTTATTTCATCTGCCTATAAACTTTTCATGCTTTTCCACGTCGTGGTGGTTGGCCCATATCATCACGTCACTCCAAGTTTACTTGGATTTGATGGTTATAATATAAATATTTGCGCATAAACGTGATTCCACCGCCATTTTCCGCATAATTCATTTTTACAGACAAAAAGATCCCACCAATGTCCAACAAACAAATTGTCTGTTGACATTTATGAAATTGACATGTCCTGTTTCCAAAAGCCCTGTCGTTATTTTTGTTATGCGTCAGGCAATTCTTACGCATGAAATGGTTGGATGGAAACCTGGTTATATAGGAAGTGCACGCTGTCATGTGACCTGGGGTTGGATTGATGGTGTATGTGTGTCACCCACCTTGGAGATCTCCTCCAGCAGCATTTTGGCACAGGAACGTCCCATTCATGTTCTCGAACACCAGGGTCAGCCCAAAACCTGGAGAACTGAGGGGGTACACCAATTAATCGATCAACCAACCCAAACAATCAATCAAGGGGGAACTTATCAATAACAACCTTATCAATAAGCGTATGCCTCACCATAAGTGAAATACTAGCTAAACAGTACCCTTGAACCTTGAAGTATGCTAGAACAACTATTGTTAGTGTGATCAACATGATTGATTAAAAATGTTTCTCTATGATAAACAGATTGTGCCTCATCAGAAAATGTATGCTATTGATTTTGATTAAGCAGTGAAAACTAAAAATAACTTCAATGGCAACACTGTAAATCTGTGTTGAATACAATTTGCCCCCCAATTTTCTTGGAAAGTAAATCTTCAAAAGGTATCTCCCCAAGAAGTATGCACCCCCTCTGGCTCGTGCGGTGGAGGAGATCTTTGTGGGCTATACTCAGCCTTGTCTCAGGGTAGCAAGTTGGTGGTCTGTTGATATCCCTCTAGTGGTGTGGGGGCTGTCCTTTGGCAAAGTGGGTGGGGTTATATCCTGCCTGGTTGTCGCTTTCCAGGGGTATCGTCGGACGGGGCCACAGTGTCCCCCAACCCCTCTCGTCTCAGCCCCCAGTATCTATGCTGCAATAGTCTATGTCCCGGGGGGTTAGGGTCAGCCTGTTATATCTGTTGTAATTCTCCAGTCTTCTCTGGTGTCCTGTATGAATTTAAGTATGCTCCCTCTAATTCTCTCTCCCTCCCCTCCCGGAGGACCTGAGCCCTAGGACCATGCCTCAGGACTACCTGGCCTGATGACTCCTGGCTGTCCCCAGTCCACCTGGTCGTGCAGCTGCTCCAGTTTCAACTGTTCTGCCTGCCTCGACTCTCTCTCTCTACCGCACCTGCTGTCTCAACCTCTGAATGATCGGCTATGAAAAGCCAAGTGACATTTACTCCTGAGGTGCTGACCTGTTGCACCCTCTGCAACCACTGTGATTATTATTTCACCCTGTTGGTCATCTATGAACGTCTTGAAGAACAATCTGGCCTTAATGGCCATGTACTCTTATAGTCTCCACCCGGCACAGCCAGAAGAGGACTGGCCACCCCTCAGAGCCTGGTTCATCTCTACGTTTCTTCCTAGGTTCCTGCCTTTCTAGGGAGTTTTTCCTAGCCACCGTGCTTCTACATCTGCAATGCTTGCTGTTTGGGGTTTTAGGCTGGGTTTCTGTATAGCACTTTGTGACATCTTCTGATGTAAAAAGGGCTTTATAAATAAATGTGATTGATTGAAATAAATACATTTGATTGATCTAGTGCGGCAGGTAGCAAAGAGGTTAAGAACGTTGGGCCAGTAACCGAAAGGTTGCTGGTTTGAATCCCTGAGCCAATTAGGTGAAAAATATGTCTATGTGCCCTTAAGCAAGGCACTTAACCCTAATTGCTCCTGTAAGTCACTCTGTGTGTGTGCTAAATGACTAAAATGTCTAAAATCTAGTGGACAATGTTTCAGCATCATAGTTTCCTTATCAGAGGAAGACTAATGTTAGGCTGAGAGAGGACTTACTTCCCAGAATTGTCCCCCTTCATGTGGTCTGTGTAGATGTAAATATCTGGAATGAATTTGTTCAGTACGCTTCTGGCAGAGTCCACTATTCTGTTGGCCATCTGAGGAGAGACACTTACAAAGTACCTGTATGACCAATGTCAAGGTGTGTAACAATTTCTGTTTTCTCTGTATAATGAATGGATCAATAAAGTTGTATTTTATTGTCAAGCAGTAGTTCAATCACTTAAACACAGAGTCAGGTAAAGCAATGAGGTGGCAATGACAGTTGAAGTTTGAAAAATACAAGAATGTAAACAAAGACTGTTGAGCTGAATCTCAGGATTGAGTCAAAGAACTACACTTCCCAGAGTGCACCAGCAGCAGCAAACCGGCTGCTTGTCACCTGATCAATCATTTTCACTGATCTGGAGCACCTGTGAAGGCATGGAGGAGCTCAGTCATTCAGAAGAACAAACTTCAGAGAGAAGACTCCAAGTTCACTCACAGGTTCAGTCCAAAGACGCCAATGGTAAAAGGCTTAAATGGTTAATTCATTTAAGTTATTTAGAATGTTTATTTAAATGTTTAAACTAATTTAAGTTCATTAAAATGTTTAATTAAAATGGTAACTTTTTGTTCTGTCTTTAAAGGTTTACAACCTAATTTACTGGCTAATTTACTGGACAGACCAATCAACTGAAAGCAAACTAAAAATAAAAAAGATTGAGTCAGAAATTTGAGTTGTCCCTGTGTCCTTTGGATGGTGAACAAGAGGAGGACTTGACAAAGACTAAAACATGACATAACTGACAAGACTCTCGACAAAGACCATAAGAGAAAGTGATTAATAGTGTGAAGGATACACTATTTCTCTGATTCTCTTGATCTTGCCGGGGTCCCACAGTTGGACGTAAAAGAGGGTTTTGCGAACGGGACACGAGAACAGAACCTCTCCTCCCCCACCTGGAGCCAACCCCCTCTTCACCACCTGGAGCCAACCCCCTCTTCACCACCTGGAGCCAACCCCCTCTTCACCACCTGGACGGAAGTAAGGAAAGCAGTTCAAAACATCAGCATCAACATAGGCAGAGAAGAGCCAAAGGAACATATGCACCACCAACACATTCCACCACACACCAACACATTCAATCAAATCAATCAGATTGTATTTGTCACATACACGTGTTTAGCAAATGTTATTGCGGGTGTAGCGAAATGCTTGTGCTTCTAGCTCCAACAGTGCAGTAATATCTAACAATTAATATCTAACAATTTCGCAACATATACCCAATACACACAAATCTAAGTAAGGAATGGAAGAATATATACATATACAGACGAGCAATGACAGAGCGGCATGGACTAAGATACAGTAGAATATTATAGAATACAGTATATACATGAGATGAGTAATGCAAGATATGTAAACATTATTAAAGTGACTAGTGTTCCATTTCTTAAAGTGGCCAGTGATTTATATAGCTGGTTCTAATCCCCAAGCCGACTAGGTGAAAAATCTGTCGATGTGCCCTTGAGCAAGGCACTTAACCCAAATTGCTCCTGTAAGTCGCTCTGGATAAGAGCGTCTGCTAAATAACTAATTATTATTATTATTATTATTATTATATAGGCAGCAGCAGCCTCTAATGTGCTAGTGATGGCTATTTAACAGTCTGTTTTTCTGTCTCTCGGTCCCAGCTTTGATGCACCTGTACTGACCTCGCTTTCTGGCAGTGGCTCAGGTGGTTGATGTCCTTGATGATCTTTTGGGCCTTCCTGTGACATCGGGTGCTGTAGGTGTCCTGGAGGGCGGGTAGTTTGCCCCCCGGTAATGCGTTGGGCAGACCACACCACCCTCTGGAGAGCCCTGCAGTTGCGGGCGGCGTAGTTGCCGTACCAGGCGGTGATACAGTCCGACAGGATGCTCTCAATTGTGCATCTGTAAAAGTTTGCGAGGGTTTTAGGTGCCAAGCCAAATTTCTTCAGCGTCTTGAATATTCCACCTGAATGAATGCTCCTGACATTCCACCACAAACTCAAACTAACATTGAAAAACAACCTAGTGTGCGACCAAAACGATATGACTAGCCAAGAAACACGAAGACAAAGTCACACTTTAGTAGCCTTTCTTGTCTTCTTGATTGGTTGATAGCACTTTAATTGGGGAGGACGGGCTCATAGTAATGGCTGGAACGTAATTAATGGAATGGTATCAAAGTCATGTGTTTGATGCCATTCCATTTACTCCATTCCAGCCATTATTATGAGCCGTCCTCCCCTCAGCAGCCTCCTGTGATTTCGAACCTTGATTGTAAAGTGTTCTAGCCAGTAATGGACATTGTTTTGCAAACAGTAATTAACAGTTCTGTGCAGCATGAGTGGTGATGCAGGCCAGACTCCCAGTGAGTGCAGTGGTTCCTCAGGACAGGCTAGAGTAGAGGGTCTCCAACCTTTTTTAGCATGAGAGGTACTTTTCAAAAATGAAAACGTCACGAGCTACTCTTTTTTTTTTTGTTGATAGCTTTCAAAATCTTTTTTTGGGGAAAGTCTACCACCCACAAGACAGTTATCATTAGCGTCGCTAACTGGCTACATACTGAGTGATAGACAAATGCGCGCACCAAACAGACAGACGGGCAATATTGCTTGAAATTAATTGGCAGATATTGTGTTACGTTTGGCTTTTTAAGTAGGGGTTAACCAGGTGTGGGATAATGTCAATGTGGCTTTGATTGGATAGTAGCCAGGAGCTTTAGGTTTATGACAGTTTGAAATGGAACACGTGAAAAAAAGCATGTACTTTCAGAATTGATTGGTGAGATACTCACTGGTGGGCTGCCTGTTGGAGATCCCTGGGCTAGAGCTAGCAATGTGGAGCAGGCATAACGGGGAACATCAGCTGCGCTGATAGACTTGATCTTCTCTCAATCAGTAGACTACGTGAGACACATTTGACAGTAGTACCAAATGTAAAAAAAATTATAGTACCGATCCATTAACCGAAATGTCGGTTATTTTTCGTTTTTTTAAACAACTATTTGACCGACGTCGGTTCAATTATTTGAATTCCATTTCGTTCATTTTTTTGTTTTTGTGAGCTCAATGTGCAGTTTCTGTAGCGATAAATCAGATCAAGTCTGAACTGTGCGATGTAGTATGGAGCTATAGTTTCCAACAGGCCAATATTCTACATAGTTTAGCGCAGAAAACGTGGTAATTAAAATAAGCTTTTAAAACACGTTTTTATCCAAGGTCTCCCATTTTCCGCCTGTAGATGTGGGAGATGACGTTGTAGCTTATTTTTTTTTATTTATTTTTTTGTTTTTGTTTTTTGTTTGTTTTTTTGTCATTTAGCAGACGCTCTTATCCAGAGCGACTTACAGGAGCAATTAGGGTTAAGTGCCTTGCTCAAGGGCACATCGACAGATTTTTCACCTAGTCGGCTCGGGGATTAGAACCAGCGACCTTTCGGTTACTGGCACAACGCTCTTAACCACTAAGCTTACTCTCGCGTGACTGCATGGACTACAATGGCAGCCCACAGGTGTGGAAAATGGGACGAAGCAAAAATAAAGGCTGCGGTCCGATTCTCTACGAGTGCACACTTCTGAGAGAAGGGGGAAGAATTCAGCAGGCTGATATAACCAATCAAATGTATTTATAAAGCCATTTTTACGCCAGCAGTTTTCGCAAAGTACTTTTAAGGTAGGAAAGGAACATGGTCTCACCGAGGGGGTCGTTGGTGACCCCCTTCAGCACAGCCTTCAAATGATGCTTCATGAAGGGAGCCAGCATGAATAGGGAAACCAGGTAGCAACCCACAGAGCGCTAGGTGGTACAGTCATGTTCCACCACGCCGCCGTCCAGCAGGCCTGGCTGGTAGAACAGCACCGTTCCTGCAGGGACAGAATCAGGATACGGTTGTGTTCAGTAGGGAGAACATGTTTTGAAACAGGGAGGTTCCACTTCAACTTGATCTACTTTATCTGTGTCCACTAAGTAAGAACACCGATTTTTGTTTTTGGCTGCAAAAACGTTTTTGCTACGATGTGCCCTTATGAACATGGCCCAGGTCAGGGAGACCAGTCTGGGTCTGGCCTCTGCGTCTAAAGGGGTTTACACTTTACATAATGCCTAGTGGACATTAGGTGCATGTCAACAAACGCAACTACACCCACTCTAGCATGTGCCTTGCAAATGCTGTGTTTCAACATTATGACACTATGAGGGGGTCCAAGGTCTCCAAAATATGCTGGAAACATTTCCCAACTTAAAATACATTCAAGAGCTGGAGAGCAACATTCATGTTACAAGGAAAGATCATTACTGATAATCAATACTATTACAGGGCCAGGCTTACAAAATATTACGCATGTTTTGGTAATACCAATATGTTAATTATCCTTGAAGGGCTGATGAGTTCGTGTGTGACACTGAAGTGTGGACTGCCATGGACAGTTTGATGTACATGCATGCATTCACAGGTAGGTGGCTGCAGATTACAAACAACACCAATGACATCAGTCTTTTGGAGGTGTGACATGCACTGGCTGTAGCCATGCAGCCCCTCATGACTTGATTTTCAATTTTGGCCCCTTTGGTTACCTTGTCCAGAAGCCTGATGAAACTGGCTTCAAAATCTAGAAGATAAGAGTCATTACAATCAGTCAAGAAAGGTTTAGCTCCACCCCAGAGACAACCACATCCTATCTATGGCATATGCAGCATTAAATTGACTGCATATCTACAAAGAACTATGGGCTAATTTGCAGGATTAAAAGTGTATGTGATGAAAAACGCATCTTCTATGGAGCTGAACCAAAGAGCATTGACATTGTTAGTCTTTGGTTGAACACAAATACCAGATTATAAATTAGAGTACAAACAACATGTCATCAAAAAGGTTCACATAAATATTCATTATTATGTTCCTAATTCATCCTGCATAAAATGTTGTTCAATAACTTGTCTCGTTGACTAATAACTATGGTTTTTGTGCAAACAAGCAACAATGCAGTCTACTTGGGCGTGCTGGCATGGATGAACTTGTAACTGCGTAGGAACAGCTAGCTAGCTGCTAAGGCTAACTTGAAATACTGCAACGCCATATGCGACGATGTTTTGTAGCCCACTTACCTCTAAAAGTCCTGGGTTATCATCTTTAGATCGTATGTATTGTATTTTGACTCTTTTGCCACTTAGCGTTGATAACATCACTAACGTTAGTATTTGTCTGAAAAGACTAAAACCATCGTAGGTGAGCCCCTGGCTTGCCGTGTTGTTGTTGTTGTTGTTATTTCCACACATGTTCTCGATTTGAGGAAGCAAGATGATGGTCGTCACTAGTTACCACAGCCACAAAGGCATAATTGCCTAACCCCCACCAACTTCTACAATTTATCTTCTTAAAATCAGATTTTAAACCTAACCCTTACCTTAACCACACTGCTAACCTTAAATTAAGACCAAAAAGCTATTTCTTTGTATTCATTAATTTTTTACGATATAGACCATTTTGACTTTGTGTCTGTGGTAACTAGTGACAAGCCAAAAGCAAGAGATTGAAGCGTATATGAAAGGGATGAAGGAGTATTTATCCAGATGGCGCTCCATGCTGCTTTATTATCATTATTTTATCCGAGCATAGGCTTTATCAAACAGCATAGCGCTCAGTTTCACCATCCACACGCTGCTCACACTGTGACAGAAATGCTTTCTCACAATGTTGAGAAACCTGTTGAACGTGCCGTGGGTAGGTAAATATCAGCAATTGTTCATTAATTGATGTAGCCTAAATCATTGGGCGCGTTCGAGCGGATCACTTTTGTCACTTCTTCAAAGTGTGTTGCATTATGTTTATAAAAATGGTCCCACTTGCCACTAGGCTACTGCCGCTTTCAAAACAACTGGGAACTCGGAAATCTCTGACTTCTGACTTCTGACTTCACTGCGTTCAATACAACTGAGAACTCAGGGAAAAAAAGTTCCGACTGGGAAAGTCGTTTTGAAAGGTCATCCAACTTGGAATTCCAAGTCTTTCTATGGCTCTGACTTTATGACCTGAAGATCACCTGACATCATAGCCTATTCCCCCTCAGGAGACTAAAAAGATTTGGCATGGGTCCTCAGATCCTCAAAAAATTCTACAGCTGCACCATCGAGAGCATCCTGACTGGTTGCATCACCGACTGGTATGGCAACTGCTTGGCCTCTGACCGCAAGGCACTACAGAGGGTAGTGCGTACGGCCCAGTACATCACTGGGGCAAAGCTCCCTGCCATCCAGGACCTCTATACCAGGCGGTGTCAGAGGAAGGCCCTCAAAATTGTCAAAGACTCCAGCCACCCTAGTCATAGACTGTTCTCTCTGCTACCGCACGGCAAGCGGTACCGGAGTGCCAAGTCTAGGTCCAAAAGACTTCTCAACAGCTTCTACCCCCAAGCCATAAGACTCCTGAACAGCTAATCATGGCTACCCGGACTATTTGCACTGCCCCCCCACCCCATCCTTTTTACGCTGCTGCTACTCTGTTAAGTATTTATGCATAGTCACTTTAACTCTACCCACATGTACATATTACCTCAACTACCTCAACTAGCCGGTGCCCCCGCACATTGACTATGCAACGGTACCCCCCTGTATATATAGCCTCCCTACTGTCACTTTATTTTACTGTATATATAGCCTCCCTACTGTCACTTTATTTTACTTCTGCTCTTTTTTTCTCAACACTTTTTTGTTGTTGTTTTATTCTTACTTTTTTGTTTAAAATAAATGCACTGTTGGTTAAGGGCTGTAAGTAAGCATTTCACTGTAATGTCTGCACCTGTTGTATTCGGCGCATGTGACCAATAAAATTTGATTTGATTTGATTTGATAATTTGACAGAGGTTTTTTTCAGAGTTCCCAGTTGTCTTGAAAGCACAAAATATGTTAACTGCATGCAGTTTTTTATGAAATCGCCTTCAAGTCGCTTCTCACGAACTGCGCCATGCAGCCATCACATGCATTGAGTACCACAGTTTGAGTCCTAATACCCATAAAAACTAGCGGTAAAACCCAGAAATGGTTCCAATCGTTTTTTTCACCATCCACTGCTCTCTTTGAGTCAACTACTCACCTCATTTTATGCATTGCAGTGCTAGCTATCTGTAGCTTATGCTTTCAGTACTAGATTCATTCTCTGATCCTTTGATTGGGTGGACAACATGTCAGTTCATGCTGCAAGAGCTCTGATAGGTTGGAGGACATCCTCCGGAAGTTGTCATAATTACTGTGTAAGTCTATGGAAGGGGGTGAGAACTGTGAGCCTCCTAGGTTTTGTATTGAAGTGAATGTACCCAGAGGAGGACAGAAGCTAGCTGTCCTCTGCCTACACCATGGTGCTACCCTACAGAGTGCTGTTGAGGCTACTGTTTTAATGAATTATTTGGTGACGTGAATATATTTTGTATAGTTTTATCTAAAAAGGATAACTTTGGAAATGTTTCACTATTTTTATGAAATTCACTGAGGAGGATGGTCCTCCCCTTCCTCCTCTGAGGAGCCTCCACTGAGCTACACTCACCGAAACAGGATAAACTTTATCCCTCATGCTGACCCTGACCAAACCGGTAAATTGCCCCTCACTATAGCTGTACTTTTCCACATGGCCAGACTTATAGCGGTCTTCTCCTCTTTTAATGCTCTTATGCTCATCCTTGAAATGACATAAGGTCTGAAATAGACACCAAAGTCGACATACTGTACAAACTATTATCTAGGCTAAGTAAAACAAAACATGTTTTAATCTACTGCTCTGCTAACTAGCTAGCTAAAGTGTAGTCAGTGGCTAGCTAAAACAGAGAAAGGGGACATAAGAAGTTCATGGAATGGACACAGAAGGTCTCTGATCGTGCTGGTGAATGGTAGCTGACAGTGTCGGCTAGAGATGACGTGTAGGAGATTCCTGCAGGAATTTCTATTCTTGCTGAGGTCTAATCTGTTGCTAATTAGCATTTTGAATTTTTTAGAGTAAATTGAGGCAAATATATTGATCAAACTCACCTTGTCCGAGAGAGAATTACACGGTTATCAAAACTTCACGCCAGGGTAAGCCTACATGAAACACAGACCTTATATGAAGTAGTTCTAAAATCCCAGACGCAAAAATTAATGGTGAAAAAACTATTGGAACCATTACCTGGTTTTACCACTAAGGTTTTATCTGTTATTATGACACATTCCCTGTGCAGGACTATTGTATGAGGCACTTTTTGGTCAACCAATCACACAAACCTGGCCAAAGACTTGACTGAAACAGGAACCAATTTTGCTGCTTTTAAGCTACAGGGGACACAAATGAAAGTGATATTTGAGACCTAAATTAATTGTAGCCTACAAATGTTATGTTTTCAGTTTGTGCGTGTGGGATATGGGGGTAGCCTATAGAAAAGTTTATTTCGACATTTCTACAGAAAAACTTTAATAAACAATGCAGCTATGTTGACACTGCCATGTTGGTATGACCCTTGCAGTTGGAGAATCACTACCGTGCCCGACTTCCGGCGATTATAGACGCACCTCCCCCGATTTCACTTGCTGACTTGAACATACCCACATGCATGAAAACAAGTTGTCTCTTGTTGAATGACAACAAAGACTTTATTGAAGAATATCTACATTTGACCAATCATTGACGAAGGGGCGTACACTTCGGCTCCCGAATTTCGGCTGGTGTCGAGAAAAAATGTTGTGTGCCAGAACAGCCGAAAAAACCCTTACCGACGAACAAAACGTCACAAAATGTCGTCATAATATATGCAGGGACTCTTCTGAACTGTTTCTGCTGGGAAGCATGTGGACATAGCTCGATAAAACCCATTCTCTCCAAATGGTATTTTATTTTATTGTGATTTTTATTCGGATCCTCAGTAGCTGAAGCAGCAGCTATTCTTCCTGGGGTCCACACAAAACATAAAACATGACAAAATACAGAACACTAATGGACCAGAACAGCAACACAAATTTAAACTAAGAACACTATGACTAAAGAACAATAGGCCTACGACTATTTTGGTCAAAATAGAAGGCTATAAATGCAAAGAAATAACGTAGCCTACCCTTATCTAGGGTGGACAGTAGAAAACACTAAACGACAGAAAAACATGTGGTGCATATCTTGGGCAAAGGGTATTATTATTAATTACTACAGAGTAGGCAACAAAAAAAACTCGTATTTCACCACATGCACAGATATCGGGGAAATTGTGATGGGGATTAGGCTACTACAGCCAGCTCTGTAACGGAATACAGTCTACTGCGCACCTTCCCGGTGTCAGCAAATCCAATGTACAGTTTACGAAAATGAAGTATGATGAGGGATTAATATGCAGCCAGCCAGGCAGTATTAACACTTGCCAACAAGCTTTTCTATTTAACCCAGGCACCATACGAATTACATAAAAGTGTGTTATACAATGAACAGGGCACATTTCCTACCATGATATTATGATTTTTTTTTTTATGTCGGGTGTTTTTATGTCGGGTGTTTTATTATCGCACGTCTTGGTGGATGTCAGCCCCAACGTCCGCCAGAGTGCGCTATTATTCCTGACGTCGTTAGACTTGGGGCTGTGTGGATGCGAGCGTCCTCACGTGTCCTCACCGTGCAGCGAGCCGAAGCAGTTTTCTCGTTAAGAACTTCTTCCTCCTTCTCTATCCGCGTCAAATTGAGGATTTCAAGAGCCAAGCTAGGATTGCTACAGGAGTCGCCCACTGTAGACGATTGCACTCTTGCACACAGTGGATAGGTTTGGACACCAGAATTCCGCTTGAACAGAAGTTCTCTTGTCTAAACGCACAAAGAACAGTTTTATGGGAAGGACGTGCTGGTTACAACAATAACATTGGAAAATGGTTCTAAAAAGGATATTCCGGACGGTTATCATGGGACCTCCGGGCTCCGGGAAGGGCACAGTGTCGGGGCGCATAGTAAAACGTTTCGGATTAACGCATCTTTCAAGTGGGGACCTTTTGAGGGCCAACATTAAAGCCAAAACAGGTAAAATTAGATCAGGGTGCAGTTCTAAACCTCTCCACATACGCAGATAATGGAAATGGCTGGTATGGTTGAAGATTAAATTAAGCAGAATTTGAAGTAATGCATTGTCTACATTTACATTTTAGTCATTTAGCAGACGCTCTTATCCAGAGCGACTTACAGTTAGTGAGTGCATACATTTTCATACTAGTCAGTTTCTTCGAAGTAGTCAGATTGTTCCCACTTGCTTGTGTTAGGTGTTTGTCATGCATGAACAGCAGCAGTTGACACATTAGATAGCATTGATGTTGCTACCAGTACCATGTGCTGACCCACAGACATCAATTCAACGTCTATTCCGCGTTGGTTCAACGTAAAATTACGTGGAAACAACGTTGATTCAACCAGTGTGTGCCCAGTGGGTAAATTGTATGTGCGATATTCATATTGTCAAATAATCATTCATAAACCAAAATGAATATGAAAATGTGGGATGCAATCAGATTATTTGGGATGTTATGCACAAAATGTAACAGAGAGAATAAACAAATTGTTATCCACAAGATGATGCAATGAAGCATGCGATGTCCTGAAAACGACGATGGTGGTTGCTCATTGTCCTACTCTCCTGGGGAGAAAGATACAGATCAAGAGTTTAAAAAGTTTACTTTCTAATGACCCCTGACCTAAACATCTGGATTTTCTGTCTAACTAGTTGTTGTTTTGTTGAAGTTGCTCTTGACAACTATTACAGAGATGGTAATATACCTATACCTTGCAAACAAAATACTCCCCTACAGTAGCCAAAAGTGTGTTTCTGGTCTGACTATGATAATAGAAACAGTTAAATTAAGTCCAGTTCATATTCTTATCTTGCTGCAATAAGGTCGAGCTTGACTAGTTTGGAGAGCTGACAAGACCTCGCTCTCATATTATTGAGTGGAAAGAATGTTTTATTTTGAAACAATTTACACACCTCTATTATACAGCAGATCTACAGCTATAGTAGACCTGTGCACAGGTAACCTGATATCTGAATCACCTGCCACCTGAGCTTTCTACAGTGAAGGTCATGTGGTTCTGTATGTAACTGCAACTTGTTATCACACTGCTCCAGCTTTTACCTTGACTGAAGTCCCATCAGATGTGAGGAGTAGCCTATAGCAGACAACTGACATTCAAGGACTTTGTTCCCACTTCCCCTTGCTCCTTTTTTTCACACTGGAATGATATGAAACACATTAAGGACTATAAAGTTATTTCTGAACACCCACATGAAAACATGACGAGAATACTTAGTTTTATTGCCCATACAATCTGTGATCTAGTTATCAGTTTAATAGTACATTTTGTAAGTATGTACACACTTGGCACACAGCAAGCCATGTGCCAAGTCCTCAAAGAATGCAATAGTTAAAAGAATGCAAGCCTGTATTTTTTTCAGTCTAGTGTGCAGCTTATTTGTTCTAGCCTGAGATGAGCGCCACTGAGCACAGTAGGCTAGTATACCTATGCTGCTCCTTCTATGGCCCTGGCCTGCACAGCCGCCTCCTCCGACTGTTACAGAAATTCCTTTCTGCTGTTGGAGTCAGACAAAGACTCAAACTTTTTGGTGCCGGGGACCCCTTTTGTGATAGCAAATTAATCAGGGACCCCTTCATAATCAGAACACAACTCGAGTGAGATAAAAAAAATAGCATACAAGGAGTTACTATGACTTTGGCAGTTTTAAAGCTTAAATTACAGTGCATTTATGTAAAAAAAAAGAAAGAAATAATACTTTCTGGAGAATACATGAAGTATTCAGTTGAAAAATATACAATTGGTGGAGTACTGTGGATACCAATATCCCTGTGAGCCTCCCAGAACATAAATTGTAGATCCTTAATATGAGGGGAGGGGGGTGGGGGGGAATTCTGGCCTGAAAAGGAAATAATCTACAAAAGTATTTCGAAACCTATTAGAAATATACTCTGAGTACATATCGTAATCCATTTGGGTGATTTTGTCTCTCTTTTCTCGACTTGGTAAAGATTCAGGATGTTTTTTTCTTTAATGTATTCTGGAAAGGATAATATTTGGTAGAATATGTTCTCACTAGAGAATATATAATAAAGATGACAGATCTGAGCTGTTTGTGTTCCTGTATCTCTTCTTCTGGCAGAGCAGGGAAATATATATATTTTTTATCCTTCCAGAACTGGGTCTTCTGAGAGAATAAATAGTAAAGATCACAGCTCTGATCCTTGTGTTATTCTGTCTCCTCTCCTGGCAGAGCTGGGTCTTCTGATTTAAGTGCATAATGTGTACATGTTTAAAAACTAAAGATGACAGCTCTGAGCTTTATGTTCCACCGTGACTCTTGCAGAGCTGGGTCTTCTGATGAAGTCATGCATCGACCAGGGTCAGCTGGTACCCGATGACATAATCTCCCGTCTCATCCTAACAGAGATGAGGAGCATAGAGCAGAGCAGCTGGCTGCTGGACGGTAAGCAGTAAGCACCTGCACCACACTCATTACACCAACAGAGAGAGAGCAAGAGGATGACAATGGGGAAAGATAGAAAGGTTGTATCAAAGGGCAGTATAGGTCGGACTTAAACGATGACGTGTGTGCCGGAGGCTGCAGCATTACCGCTAGACCAGCCAGGCCACCCGTTACTCATCTTTAGGCACACCATTTATAGGCATAGACAAGGCAATAGGCATATGTTTTAAAAGGCATTCAGTACACTCCAGACACCTTCAAGTGAGTAGGAATATGCTTTGGATGTGTTTTTAAGAAACATTTACATTACTTGGAACAGCTTGCTGCTGAACAGTAAACAGCACCTGCACTCATTAAGCTATTGGTCTTTGCGCGCGCGCACACACACACACACCGCTCATTAAGCTACTCATATTTAGGCACGCCAACAGTCTCCTCCACCAGCCGACTCTCTAGCCATTAGCCTGGCTTAAAGGAAAAATTTACCCAAAACCACTCATTCATATAATTTACAGTGTGAGAACAATATTTTTTGTCAACAAATGCTTCATTTTGTCGTTATAATAAGGTTGGTAGCAACGTGAAAATCATTGTGGAATTCCGTTGCAGCTCAAGTCGACTACAAAAACCACAATGCAATGCTCTCTATATGGGCTGGCTGGCTAGCTAGCAAACGTAGCTACACACAATAATACCAAAGTCAATATCAGCATGTCAAGTAGCTAGTTAGCTCTAAAAGTTAGACCCTCTGTTAAATGAAACATTTCTGGCGTGTAGGAATATCGCAAAAAATGATCAATGGCTCATTCGCGAGAAGACAACCTCCCGCGTTATGACATCGGCCAGTATTGAAATCTGCCATGTATGATAGACGTTTTCGCGATCTTAAAGTCGTATTCCTATTAACTCCCATTGTAGTGAGAGCGCCTTTATCGCAATGCCACGCCATACCGTCCGAATTTCTGCCTGCTTGAACGGCAATAGCTCAGATACACATGAAAACATGAAATGACCCAGGGAATCGATAGAACATCACCCAGAGATCACAAAAACAATATAACATTTAAAATGGGTCACTCTTTACTTAAAGTAAAAAGGCATACACGCCATAAACCTTCAGGTGAGTAGGAATACGCTTTGGAAATGTCTACATTGAATACGTCTTGATAGCTTTCATACTATTTATTATAACTTTGTAATGTATTTATAGATGATAGATGTATTCTCTTTTGTGGGAAAAATCTAATATTTATGAAAATGGCTCTTAAAGGGTTAAATAACCTTAGACCACTAAGGCAGATGGACTATCAGATCAATTTGTGTTCATCCTGGCCCAAGGCGGTTTTCCATTTCAAAATAGCTGTCAAAGTGGGAGATAAAGGCAAATAGTACAGTCATGCATGCATCATGTTAAAGGGATACTTCGCGGATTTTGGCAATGAGGCCCTTCATTTACTACCCCATAGTCAGATGAACTATTGGATACCATTTTTGTCTCTGTGTCCAGGGCCGGCCCGCTCATTAGGCAGGATTAGGCGGCAGCCTATGGCGGCAGCCTATGGCTGCAGATTGAGGAGGGCAGCATTTTCCTGAGCTAAACTGACCGAGACACACCTCCAACAACACATAAAACCTCACATAATTCTGCCCAAAACTAATGACAATTTCTCTGAACCAGTGGCATATGGGCTTTTTAGGTGAGATCTGATGCCGCCCTATGATAAGCAGTGCCCACTTTGTCAAAGGCAGGGAGGCAAAATATTGCTCTTGTCCATTCCCTAGCGCACCTCTCCAGGGTGCTGTTGGAGAGTGACACTTGAGCTGGGGTTTTCTCAATTCATCTTTCCATGATTCCTCGCCTACTTTCTCTTATCCCATCTCTTCGTCTCCTTCTCAAACAAATCAATATGCGCTGAATACAACAGGTGTAGACCTTACCGTGAAATGCTTACTTACAAGCCCTTAACCAACAATGCAGTTCAATAAATAGTTAAGAAAATATCTATTAAATAAACGTAAGTAAAAAATAATAAAAAATAACACAATAATGAGGCTATATTCATGTAGGTAGGGGTAAAGTGACTATGCATAGATAATAAACAGGGCCGTACGCACTACCCTCTGTAGCGCCTTACGGTCGGATGCCAAGCAGTTGCCATACCAGGCGGTGATGCAACCGGTCAGGATGCTCTCGATGGTGCAGCTGTATAACTTTTTGAGGTTCTGGGGACCCATGCCAAATCTTTTTAGTCTCCTGAGGGGGAAAGGTGTTGTCGTGCCATCTTCACGACTGTCTTGGTGTGTTTGGACCATGAAAGTTTGTTGGTGATGTGGACACCAAGGAACTTGAAACGCATTGGAGAAGAAGGTACGAGGGAAGGGACCTTGGACCTTCTCCAACTATACAGTTGAGAAGGAGGCGAGGAGAGATGAGAAGAATCGCGGAAAGATGAATTGGAAAAGAGCCTGACTCTGGGCCTATCCTTTCCTGTCAGGGTTCCCCCTTGTGAAGATTGTGAACATAGAACTCTAGAATGGACATTCTCGAGCTATGAAGGTCTATAACTTCAACCACTCTAGTGTATTAAAAATCTCTATGGTTACGACTGGTCTCTTCTGTCTGGCAGGGTACCCCCGCACCTTGGCTCAGGCGGAGACTCTAGACGGCGTGTGCAGTGTGGACAGAGTCATCAACCTGGACATTCCTTTCCAGACCATCAAACAGAGACTGACCTCTCGCTGGCTGCACCTCCCCAGCGGACGCGTCTACAACATCGACTTCAACCCACCCAAGATATCTGTAAGTATAGTCTGAGTCTCGGATGTATTTGACGGGCTAGATACTACTGAGCTATACTGAAGCTTCTGCTCCAAATGTATGTGGCCAAGTTTTACACAGGCCTTATTACAACATCATTAGAATGTTATTACACATGTAATAACCATATGACAGGATAGTAACAACACACTTATACACTGTGTGGATATTTTAAAACGATGTGATAAGACTGTTTTATTGTTCCATCTCTCCCACCACACAGTTGATCTTGTCGTCAGCTAGCTTTAGCTGAACATTAAGCTGCTCTTTAAAAGCTCCTAATTCACCATGCAACCACCTGACAGCGCCTGTCTCCCTTACAAGTCATGTTATCAAAATATGGGTATTTCCTGGAACGTTAAAGTAGGGCACAGACTGCGTCTCCCTGGGACCTGGAGAGATTTAGAGGAGAGAGAGACAGATTAAGGGATTAGACAGATAAAACAAGTGTGCATCCTATTCCCTATATAGCGCACTACTTTTGACCAGATCCCTATGGCCTATACAGGGGATAGGGTGCCATTTCCGAACTTATCCAGGGTGGCATTTGTTTGCTGTGGCAATCCAAGTGGGGACCTTTGCTCTCATCCAAGCAATTAAACTGGAGCAAACAAGCCATTTTTAGCTGACCTGGGTTCAAATACTATTTTGAATCATTTCAAATACTTTAGCTGTGTTTGATTGAGCTTGCCTAGCACAATGGAACCAATAGAAAAATCCATAAATTGCAAACCCTGCCCACCTGGCACTCCAAACAGGCTAAGGCACATGCTCAAAGCGTTACGATTTCAAATAGTATTTGAACCCAGGTCAGATTGTTAGTCGTGTAAAAAGACAGTGCCAGGGGAAATGTTGTGAGTTACTCTCTAGGGTTCTTGAACATGAAAAGAACACTGAATGAAATCTCCCTCACCACTCCCAGCTTTCTGTGCTCTACTCTTTTAGACCATATGCATTGTGTGCCTGTGCATTATATTTTACATTTTAGTCATTTAGCAGACGCTCTTATCCAGAGCGACTTACATGAGCAATTAGGGTTAAGTGCCTTGCTTAAGGGCACATCGACAGATTTTGCACCTAGTCAGCTCGGGGATTAGAACCAGTGACCTTTCGGTTACTGGCACAACGCTCTTACCCACTAAGCCACCTGCCGCCCCCAGTGTTGTTTTTTGCGATTACAAACATGCTGGTAGGAGGTTGAATGCAATGTGAATAGTTAGACATTTCAGGCTAAACATTTACCTAGTGTTTGTATTCCGACTTGTTGAGACTGAGAGGACCAGTGTTTCATACAATAGAGGTGCAAATGTCGTCAAAAAGCAGCTTTTCACGTGAATTGTGCAAACAGGATGAAACTTCAGTAGATTACAGCTTCTTACTAATCTTTGCATTTCAGAGGCTGCATGGTCTGGGAGGGAGGTGTATATACTCTCTCTCTCTCTCTCGTCTGTTCACGTTTGCTTTCTACGTCACCTAAGACAAGGTCATCATAGGCCATTGTTTTCTACTAACCATACAGGTTTCTGCTTGAACATTCAGTTCCCCCACATACCATACCACTATGTCGGATTACTAAATCGTCCAATATACCTCAGTGTAGCTGAGTTCGTAAGACGCTAGCAATGCCAGTACCGTGGGTTTGATTCCTGCTGGTGCCACCTATACGGAAATGTATGCACGCACAATTGTCAATTGCTTTGGATAAAAGCATCTTTAAATGTCATATCTTAACACACTCACTGCTTGGTCTGTTTTGGTTTGCCCTCCTGCCTACAGGGCCTTGATGACGTCACTGGAGAGCCTCTGATTCAGAGAGATGATGACAGACCAGAGACCATCACCAGGAGGCTAAAGTCCTACGAGAACCAGACCCAACCCGTGTTAGAGTACTACAGGTAGAGTCCCAAACCTGAACTATACACAGTACCAGTCAAAGGTTTGGACACACCTACTCATTCAAGGGTTTTTCTTTATTTTTAATATTTTCTACATTGTAGAATAATAGTGAAGACATCAAAACTATGAAATAACACATATGGAATCATGTAGTAACCCAAAAAAGTGTTAAACAAATCAAAATATGTTATATTTGAGATTCTTGAAATAGCCACCCTTTGCCTTGATGACAGCTTTTGCACACTCTTGGCATTCTCTCAGCCAGCTTCACCTGGATTGCCTTTCCAACAGTCTTGAAGGAGTTCCCACATATGCTGAGCACTTGTTGGCTACTTTTCCTTCACTCTGCCGTCCGACTCATCCCAAACCATCTCAATTGGGTTGAGTTCGGGGGATTGTGGAGGCCAGGTCATCTGATGCAGCACTCCATCACTCCTTCTTGGTAAAATAGTCCTTACACAGTCTGGAGGTGTGTTGGGTCATTGTCCTGTTGAAAAACAAATGATAGTCCCACTAAGCCCAAACCAGATGGGATGGCATATCGCTGCAGAATGCTGTGGTAGCCATGCTGGTTAAGTGTGCCTTCTAAATAAATCACAGTGTCACCAGCAAAGCACCCCCACACACCATAACACCTCCTCCTCCATGCTTTACGGTGGGAACTGCACATGCAGAGATCATCCGTTCACCCACACCGCGTCTCACAAAGACACTGCGGTTGGAACCAAAAATCTCCAATTTGGACTCCAGACCAAAGGACACATTTCCACCGGTCTAATGTCCATTGCTCGTGTTTCTTGGCCCAAGCAGGTCTCTTCTTCTTATTGGTGTCCTTTATTATAATAATAATAATAAGCCATTTAGCAGACGCTTTTATCCAAAGCGACTTACAGTCATGTGTGCATACATTTTTACGTATGGGTGGTCCCGGGGATCGAACCCACTACCCTGGCGTTACAAGCGCCATGCTCTACCAATTGAGCTACAGAGGTGTCCTTTAATAGTGGTTTCTTTGTGGCAATTTAACCATGAAGGCCTGATTCACGCACTTTCCTCTGAACAGTTGATGTTGAGATGTGTCTGTGACTTGAACTCTGTGAAGCATTTATTTGGGCTGCAATTTCTGAGGCTGGTAACACTTAATGAACTTATCCTCTGCAGCAGAGGTAACTCTGGGTCTTCCATTCCTGTGGTGGTCCTCATGAGAGCCAGTTTCATCATAGCGCTTGATGGTTTTTGCGACTGCACTTGAAGAAACGTTCAAAGTTTTTGAAATGTTCCGTATTGACTGACCTTCATGTCTTAAAGTAATGATGGACTGTCGTTTCTCTTTGCTTATTTGAGCTGTTCTTGCCATAATATGGACTTGGTCTTTTACCAAATAGGGCCATCTTCTCTAAACCCCCTTACCTTGTCACAACACAACTGATAGGCTCAAACGCATTAAGAAGGAAATAAATTCCACAAATTAACTTTTAAGAAGGCACACCTGTTAATTGAAATGCATTCCAGATGACTACCTCATGAAGCTGGTTGAGAGAATGCCAAGCGTGTGCAAAGCTGTCAAAGGCAAAGGGTGGCTATTTGAAGAATCTCAAATATAAAATATATTTTGATTTGTTTAACACTTTTTTGGTTACTACATGATTCCATATGTGTTATTTCATAGTTTTGATGTCTTCACTATTATTCTACAATGTAAAAAATAGTAAAAATAAAGAAAAACCCTTGAATGAGTAGGTGTCCAAACTTTTGACTGGTAGTGTATATATAAACTCAGCAAAAAAAGAAACGTCCTCTCACTGTCAACTGCGTTTATTTTCAGCAAACTTAACATGTGTAAATATTTGTATGACCATAACTAATTTCAACAACTGAGACAAACTGAACAAGTTCCACAGACGTGACCACATGAGGGAGGAGGATGTCTTCCCTGTAACGCACAGCGTTGAGATTGCCTGCGATGACAACAAGCTCAGTCCGATGATGCTGTGACACACTGCCCCAGACCATGACGGACCCTCCACCTCCAAATCGATCCCGCACCAGAGTACAGGCCTCGGTGTAACGCTCATTCCTTCGACGATAAACGTGAATCCGACCATCACCCCTGGTGAGACGAAACAGCGACTCGTCAGTGAAGAGCACTTTTTGCCAGTCCTGTCTGGTTCAGCGACGGTGGGTTTGTGCCCATAGGCGACGTTGTTGCCGGTGATGTCTGGTGAGGACCTGCCTTACAACAGGCCTACAAGCCCTCAGTCCAGCCTTCTCAGCCTATTGCGGACAGTCTGAGCACTGATGGAGGGATTGTGCGTTCCTGATGTAACTCGGGCAGTTGTTGTTGCCATCCTGTACCTGTCCCGCAGGTGTGATGTTCGGATGTACTGATCCTGTGCAGCTGTTGTTACACGTGGTCTGCCACTGTGAGGACGATCAGCTGTCCGTCCTGTCTCCCTGTAGCTCTGTCTTAGGCGTCTCACAGTACAGACATTGCAATTTATTGCCCTGGCCACATCTGCAGTCCTCATGCCTCCTTGCAGCATGCCTAAGGCACGTTCACGCAGATGAGCAGGGACCCTGGGCATGTTTTTCAGAGTCAGTAGAAAGGCCTCTTTAGTGTCCTAAGTTTTCGTAACTGTGACCTTAATTGCCTACCGTCTGTAAGCTGTTAGTGTCTTAATGACCGTTCCACAGGTGCATGTTCATTAATTGTTTTATGGTTCATTGAACAAGCATGGGAAACTATGTTTAAACCCTATACAATGAAGATCTGTGAAGTTATTTTGATTTTTACTAATTATCTTTGAAAGACGGTCCTGAAAGAGGGACGTTTCTTTTTTTGCTGAGTTTATATACATACCGTGGGGAGAACAAGTATTTGATACACTGCCGATTTTGCAGGTTTTCCTACTTACAAAGCATGTAGAGGTCTGTAATTTTTATCATAGGTACACTTCAACTGTGAGAGACGGAATCTAAAACAAAAATCCAGAAAATCACATTGTATGATTTTTAAGTAATTAATTTGCATTTGTATTACCTACTGAACATGACCCTGTTTATTATGATAACCGTCATGAGGTACT